TTTTTTTTTTCAAGAATTAAATTATTATTAAATAAAATAAAAAATGGTAAGTTGGTTGAATAATTATAATACAACTCTGATCGAAGAATTTTTTTCATTCATTTGACATTAAAAATCAAATTAAATAAATTTCTACAAAAAAAAAAATAATAATAATTATCTATTTATTTATTTACTAATTTATTCAGTCAGCAACAATTAGACCCAAGATCACTGTTTACTCTGAGGCAGGTGACAGTAGTATCGAGACTATCACACTACCAGCAGTGTTTAAAGCACCTATTAGACCTGATATTGTTAGAGTAGTTCACACCAATATTTCAAAAAATAATCGTCAACCTTATGCTGTCTCATCAAAGGCTGGTCATCAAACATCTGCTGAGTCTTGGGGTACTGGTCGTGCTGTAGCACGTATCCCTCGTGTATCTGGAGGCGGAACACATCGTGCTGGTCAGGTAAATAATATATTACATGATGTTGATGATGATACAATATTATTTAATCAATCAAAATTATAAATAATTTTCATTTATTATTATTATTATTATTATTATTATTAATTAATTAATTAATTAATTAAGGGAGCTTTTGGTAATATGTGTCGTGGAGGACGTATGTTTTCACCTACAAAAACTTGGCGTAAGTGGCATGTTAAAACCAATTTAAATCAAAAAAGATATGCCATCGCATCATCATTAGCAGCATCATCAGTTCCAGCTTTAGTTTTAGCACGTGGACACAGGATTGAAGAGATTCAAGAAGTTCCATTGGTGATAGGTGATGGTATTGAATCATTGGAGAAGACAAAAGCAGCAGTCCAATTGCTTAAAGCAGTTAATGCTTATCGAGATATTACTAAAGTATCCAATTCTCGTAAATTGAGGGCTGGCAAGGGGAAAATGCGTAACAGGCGTCACAGACAACGTAGAGGACCTCTTATTGTTTATAATACTGATAATGGAATTGTTAAGGCATTTCGTAATATTCCTGGTGTTGAAGTAGTTAATGTTAGAAGTTTGAATTTATTACAATTAGCACCAGGTGGTCATTTAGGTAGATTTGTTATCTGGTCTCGAAGTGCTTTTGCTTTGTTGGATTGTTTGTTTGGCACCTACAGAAGATCTTCTTCTATGAAGAAGGATTATCGGTACTAAATTATTATTATTATTGCTATTATCATTATTATTATAAAAAAATTATTGATATTTATAATTTTATTTTTAATAACACACACCATATATATTATTTATGCAATTATTAGTCTACCATCACATATCATATCCAATTCTGATGTAACACGTCTCATCAACTCTAATGAAATCCAATCAATCCTAAGACCAGCAAGAGAGAAACACACAAAACGACCATATACACAAAAGAAGAATCCATTACGTAACAATGGTGTCATGATTCGTCTTAATCCTTATGCTAAAATATTGAAAAGAGGTGAAATTATACGTGCTGAAAAATTGAAATCTGGTAAAATCCAAAAGAGTAAACGTCAAGCAAAGGCTAGTACCAAGGCATCAGAAAAGTATGTGATAATAAATTATTATTATGATTGTTGTTGCTGTTGTTGTTGTTATTTTCTGTACTGATTTTTAATTCTAATTTTTTTCTTATATAAATAGATTTTTGAGTATTTTGTTATCAGATAATTAAGATGATTCACTTTTGTTTGATTAATTAATAAATTATTAATAAATTTAAAAAGTCTTGTAGATTTTTCTAAAAAAAAAAAAAACTATTTATTTTTTTAAAAAAAACACAACAATGTTTTAACTTTATAATTCAATTAATTTCTACAATTTTTTCTTCAGAGTAATCACATTTATTTGTTTGTGACATAAAATAATTGGCTCTTAAAAATGAAATTATCTTTATCATATGGTTGATAACCACAAAACAGTAAAGTTGGCCAAAGAAAAATCAAACCTATTGCTGCATCACTAGGCAAAATTTAATTTTCAAATTAATAGGAATTTCCAGTAATTCACATGATTCGTGTGATTAGAGTTAATAATAGGTTTTTGAGCAAGAACTTGCTTAGTTAAAATCACCCTCAAAAGTATAGCTTTATCATTTAATTCATTGTCAGATGATAATTCAGATTCATCTTCTGGGCCAATTATTGTTCATCTAAGGAAATTGTCTTGCATCAAAGTTTAAAACATCCTTATGTTCTAGTTCTAGTGTCATTGGTTCACATTTAATAAATTCATCCAATCTCTGTTTAATAATCCAAGTTTTTTTCTTTTAGTTAGGATCTTACTATGGTTTCAAGGTCCTCTGACCAAATATAAGTTTTTTACATGATATTAATCTATAATATATGAGCTATATATAATTGGTGAAAACATTAGACCCTGTTTACTTGGTACAGCAATGAAATATAAGGCTTGTCACTCAAAATTTATTATGTTTTCCAGCCAGTTTTGCTCAATAGTAATGGGGAAAATTAATCTTGATTTTTAAGTTAATACCATTTCTACATGCAGTTCACACCACAAGGATTAATTTCAGCTTAGAAACTATACCAACTTAATAAATTTTTCCATTAAAGTAAACAAGGTATGGCAATAGAAACAGGGATAATTACAAACATTATCTATATGTAATTCAACACAAGGATTAATTTTAACTTAGAAACTATGTCCACTTAATAATATTTTCTGTTGATATTAAAGGTTTAAAAACAATAATGATCTTTTTTTTGATTTTAGTATAGGTTACAATGATTATTTCCAAATTTAGACTCACGAAGCTGTGTCAAAAAAAAACCATTGTGGGTTAGCTGTATGGTGCAGAAATGGTGGCTATAAACTTTGTGCACCATACAATTTATTATTGCTTTACTTGTATAATTATTTGATTATTTTTGATGTCTGTAAAATCGTGATTTTATAAAAAATAATATTAAATTTTGAGCTAGCTTGAGTTTACACTCAAGCTAAATATAAACTAGATGAAGAAATATTATAAATAATTTTGGGTAGATATGTTAAAAAGTGATGTCAATTTATATAGAATATATATAATAGACAAGAAAGATCAATTAAAAAAGATGCAAAATACCAATGTGTTGACATAACATGGTGGGTGGTGGTTGGGTGTTTGAATGATAGACACATTCATTCATTTAATTTTTGGTGGATTTAACATTGTTGATGGGTGCTTTGAGTCATGTGAAACTCAAAATCATGTCAATTTTAAATTTTCCATTTCTGTAGACTGTCCCATAAGCCAGACCAAAGGTGTTGGGTTAGCTTAGAACTTATTTTTCCTTCTTCCTTCAATTCGTCAAATTTATGTTTCAAAGGAGCAATAAAATTATATGAGCAGGATATTGCCTTTATTATAAAAAAAAAACATTAATATATGATTTCAGAATAGAATGGTTGAAAAATGTTTCACAGCCAAAAATTGAATCTGTGGACATATATATATTTATAAGGAATCATTTCTATTAGCTTGCCTGATTTATTAACATCAATGGAAAAACTCTTAAATATCTGAATGCTAATGGTGATCCAACTGATATTGAATTTTTGGGAAAGCTATTTCAACCAATTGCACAATGGTGTAAAAATCTAGTAGACTTATCAATATTTTACAATGATGAAGTAAACTAGGAGTTAACAGAAGTAATCAATAATCATTTTAAATTAAAAAGTATTGAATTTGTTTTTATGGATATATTTGATGGTGATAAAATACTTTCAGTACTAAATCAAGCATTACCAAAAAAATTAAAGTCAATAATACTT